GTCTCGATCTCCTGACCTTGTGATCCGCCCGCCTCGGCCTCCCAAAGTGCTGGGATTACAGGCGTGAGCCACTGCGCCCGGCCGTTTTGGGGGTTTTAAAATCATTTTTATTTTGTAGAGAGGGCCACTATGTTGCCCAAGCTGCTCTCGAACTCCTGGGCTCAAGTGATCCTGCAGCTCCAGCCTTCCAAAGTGCTGGGATTTAGAGGTGTGATCCACCATGCCTGGCCTGGGAGAGTTAATGCCAGCAGGGCACAGGGGACTGAAACTCACAGAGGCTACACTGACAGGGGTGGACCCTGGGGGAAAGGATCAAAGTCGGCGGGGCTAGGGCATAGGATTTTTGTGCGGGAAGTGGAGCCAGGTGTTGGACATAATGTGTGTACTAAGGATAGACCCTGGAGAGGCAAAGTCATCTGGTAGGGCTGAAAGGAGCCAAATCAGCAGTAAGTGGGCCTAGGAGCCCGGCTAGGACCCGGAGCTGAGACCAAGCAACCGGTGCTAGTAGGTGGGAGGGTGGGGGTGGGGCTGAGGGCGGGCCTTGGCAGGCCTGGGTGGAGCCAGAGTTTTGAGTGACCCCAGGATACCTGAGCTCCGCAGGCAGGATCTCCGCGGCTAAGTTATCCATGGGTGGGGAGGTGGGATCCAATGAGGGGTCTGAAGAATGCAAGAAAAGTCTTCAGGTGTCTTCGCATTCCCTGTCCCCGCCCCTAGGGTCTTCTTCCCAAAGATCATCTTTTGGGGCTCAAGTTCAGCCAACAGCCTGGCTTGACACAAGCTCCATCCCCAGCTTGATAGAGAACCAGGAGGGTTGGCCTGGCTTTTTAGCCTTTGCTCCACCCTGAGACCCTGAGCCTCTCTCTTCAATATGACCATGTCACATCTTTCTGGTCACCTCCAGCCTGGCCTAGCTCTCTCCCCAGCCTAGACATGCACTGGGACACAACCTACACCAGGACAGGTAAGGCCCCAGCATGGGGCTTCATCTCACCGGCCTGGGTCAATCCCCGCGGCTGCAGCTGGGCGCAGCGCAGCTCCTCATTGGCCTCCCGCAAGGAGTCCCGCTCCGCCAACAGCCGCTGCAGGAACAGGGTACAAGATACCACACGGGTCAGGCTCAGCTCCCTGGGAAATAGGCTACCCCAGAATTGGCAGGGTGGGGCTTGGGCAGTGGGACCTCAGCCTCACCTCCTTCTCCTTTGTCACCGACTCATACTTTTCCTCCAGGTTGCGGTATTCAAATAGCCATTTCTCGGCCTTCATGGCCTCCTCCTGCCGCTGGCCCTGCAGTTCCTGCACCTGAACACAGAGAGAGGAAGAATAAGGACTGCAGGGGTGGAAGCAGGGGCAGGGGCTGAGTACAGATGGTTCCCAATCCAGGATGGTTTGACTTATGATTTTTTTGACTTTACTATGGTGCTTTCAGCTGTGTATGTTTTTTGCTTGGCTTTTTAAGAGACAGGGTCTCGCTCTGTTGCCCTGGCTGGTCTCAAACTCCTGGCCTCAAGCGATCCTCCCACTTCAGCCTCCCAAAGCACTGGGATTACAGGTGTGAGCCATTGCACCCAGCCAACTGTGAATGTTAATAGTAAGAACCCATATAACCATTCTGTTTTTCAATTTCAGTGAAGTAGTCTTCAATAAATTGCATGATATAGTCAATGCTTTATTATAAAATAGGCTTTATGGTAGATGATTTTGCCAAACTAGGCTAAGGAAAGCATGATTAAGGTAGGCTAGACTAAGCTGTGATGTTCGATAGGTAAGGTATGTTCAATGGATTTTCTTTCTTATTTCTTAAAAAATTTTTTAAAAATTATTTTTTAAAAACAGATGGGATCTCACTATGTTGACCAGACTGTTCTCGAAATGCTGGCCTCAAGCGATCTCCTATCTCAGCCTCCCAAAGTGCTGGGATTATAGGCATGAGTCACCACGCCCAGCCCTCTTTTTCTTTTTTTTCTTTTTAAATATATATATATATTTTTTTTTTTTTTTTGAGACGGAGTCTCGCTCTGTCGCCCAGGCTGGAGTGCAGTGGCCTCCGCTCACTGCAAGCTCCGCCTCCCGGGTTCATGCCATTCTCCTGCCTCAGCCTCCCGAGTAGCTGGGATTACAGGCGCCCGCCACCTCGCCCGGCTAGTTTTTTTGTATTTTTTTAGTAGAGATGGGGTTTCACCGTGTTAGCCAGGATGGTCTCGATCTCCTGACCTCGTGATCCGCCCGTCTCGGCCTCCCAAAGTGCTGGGATTACAGGCTTGAGCCACCGCGCCCGGCCTAAATATATTTTTCTTTTTTTCTTTTGAGACAGAGTCTCCCTCTCTCCACCAGGCTGGAGTGCAGTGATGCGATCTTGGCCTACTGCAACTTCACCTCCCAGGTTCAAGCGATTCTGGTGCCTCAGCTTCCTGGGTAGCTGGAATTACAGGCGCACGCCACCATGCCCGGCTAATTTTTGTATTTTTAGTATTTTAGGGTTTCGCTATGTTGGCCAGTATGGTCTCAAACTCCTGCCTCAAGTGATGTGGGGTTACAGAAGGCGTTATGGGGTGCCCGCCTTGGCCTCCCAAAGCACTGGGATTACAGGCGCGAGTCACCGCACCCAGTCTTTTTCTTTTGTTTGAGGCAGGATCTCGCCTTGTCACTCAGGCTGGAATGCAGTGATGCAGCCACAGCTCACTACAACCTCAAAATCCCAGCCTCAAGTGATCCGGTTCAGTCTCCGAAAGCGCTGGGATACTAGGCCTGGCCTTTAAACGCATTTTAGGATATTTTCAATTTACCACGAGTTTTGTTACATGGGTAGGTAGCCCCAAGTAAATCAAGCAGCAAGGTGAAGGGGCGGGCATCAAAGAATTTAGAGGAGCGGTACTTAAGGGAAGGGCTGGGCTTACTAACCCAGACAGAGGAACAGCCTGGGTGGAGGGAAGAGGCCTGGAAGGCGTGGCCTAAGTGCAAGTAAGGCAGGGACTCAGGGGAGGGCGGGCCAACAGTAACGGACACACTGCCAGGGGCGGGGCCCCGGCCCTAACCCCGACCCCGCCGCACCTGCCGCCGCTGCGCCTCCAGCTGGGCGCGCAGGGAGCCAGCTCGGCGCAGCTCATCCTCCAGCTGCCGCGTGCGCTCGGCGTGGCCAGCATTGCGTTCCTCCAGCTGCCGCACCTGCCGCCGCAGCTCCCTCAGCTCTCCCAAGCGGCGCTGGCAACTGTTTAGCGTGGCCTCCAGCTGCCCAGCACGCTCCGAGGACTGCCTAGGGGAGTGGAGAGGGAGGGGGGAGGGTTGAGAGCCCTGATCAGGGTTCAGCTGGGATGCGGAGTGGCCCTTGGAGCAGAGGAGGGTGTTGTTCAGCCTGAGGCTTTTGGGTTCAAGGTGAAGGGGTCATGAAAGTCGAGGGTCAAGGGTCAACCCGGGCCTGGTGCTGTTGAGAGTCATTACAGCAATAGTTAGCCCAGGGTTATAATCAAGGATCCTCTGGGGTGGAATTGTGGGGACACAGAGGGTTGTGGGGTTATAGGGGGAGTGATGGGGGGCCTAGAGAGGTCTGAGCATCTGCCAAGGACACCTTGGGGTCATTGGGGGAGCTATGGGACAAGAGCACTGTGGGGTCCTTAGAAGTGCAATGGGGGCCGGGCGCGGTGTCTCACGCCTGTAATCCCAGCACTCTGGGAGACCGAGGCGGGCGGATCACAAGGTCAGGAGATCGAGACCATCCTGGCTAACAGGGCGAAACCCCGTCTCTACTAAAAATACAAAAAAGCCAGGCATGGTGGCGTGTGCCTGTGGTCCTAGCTACTCGGGAGGCTGAGGCAGGAGAATGGCGTGAACCCGGAAGGCAGAGCTTGCAGTGAGCGGAGATCTGGCCACTGCACTCCAGCCTGGGCGACACAGCGAGACTCCGTCTCAAAAAATAAAAAATAAAATAAAAAAAAACAGAAGTGCAATGGGGGGGTGCACTAGTACTTTTGCATTACAGAGGTGCTATAGGGGCCCAGTGGAGCCCTTTGTGGTTACAGAAGGCACAGTAGAGTCAAAAGGGGTTGCAAAGTCCTAGAAGGTACCATGGGATCCAGGAGCATTATGAAGTCCAAAATGTGCAGTGGGATCTGCAGACCATTGTGGGGGAGGTTCTTGTGTTTTGTGGGGCCAAAGGGATGCTATGGGGTCTTGGAAGCATACTGTGGAATAAGAGGGGGCAGTGTGGGGTCCAGGGGTTATGGTGGAGTTCAGGATAGCGCAATGTGGCCTTGGGCGTTCTGTAGGGCTCAGGGTGGCAACGTGGAGTCCAGGGGGCATATTGGGGATTCACTGGGCATATACAAGTTACAGAGTTGCATGGCATCAGAGGGGAACTCTGGCAACAAGTTTACCCCCAGCCCCCTGTGATGGGGACCCAGGAACCCACCACTCACCGCAGCTCATCCATCTCATCCTTCAGGGCCTGTGCCTCCTGGGCCAGGCTGGTCAGCGCCTGGTTCCGGTGCTGCAGCTCCGCAACCTCCCGCTCCAGCTCGGCACAGCGCAGGCGCTCATCCTCTCTGCCACTCTCCAACCTGGGGGTGGTGGTGAGGAAAGGGCACATGAGGGAGCTGCCCTCCCCCCGTCCCCTGGCTTGCCTGGTCCAGTCCCCAGATGACCGCACCTGAAGTTCTCCTCCTGCAACTGCTCCAGCTGGGATTGCAGCAGCAGCAGCTTCTTGGCAGTGAGACCTGGGGTACCCTCGCCTTCAGGCCGGCCCACCCGCTCCCGCAGCACTGCATTCTCTTGTGCCAGGCTCTGCTTCTCCTCTGACAGGAGCATCAGCTGCGGGCAGGGTAGGAAGATGAGCTGGGGCTTGGAGAGGGGCTATTCAAATGTCCCTGCCCCACCTCGGGCCCTACCTGCCGCTCCAGGTCCAGACAGCGCTGCTGTAACTCATCCCCCTCCTCAGCCTCCTCACTTAGGAAATAGTACCTGCGGGACTGCGGAGATGAGGGGGAAGAGGAACTCAGGAATTCAGGAGAAGGACGAGGGGAGGGAGGCTGAGATCTCTAGAGGCCAGTGGAGGGGAACAAGAAACCCTCAGGATTGAAAAGAGGGCTGGTGCCGGGTGCGGTGGCTCACGCCTGTAATCCCAGCACTTTGGGAGGCTGAGGCGGGTGGGTCACCTGAGATCAGGAGTTCCAGACCAGCCTGGCCAACGTGGTGAACCCCGTCTCTACTAAAAATACAAAAATTAGCCGGGTGTGGTGGTGCGCACCAGTAGTGCTGGCTGCTCGGGAGGCTGAGGCAGGAGAATCGCTTGAACCCAGGAGGCGGGGGTTGCAGTGAGCCGAGATTGCGCCACTGCACTCCAGCCTGGGTGACAGAGTGAGACTCCATCTCAAAAAAAAAGAAAAAGAAAAAGAAAACAGGGCTGGGGTTGGAGACTGAAGGAAGAGCGACTCCAGAACACTGGAGACCTGGCACAGGAAGTGACTAGCACCCTGGGAGATGGGCGTGGCTTACAGGCTTAAGGACAAGCCCCTCCCCCTTAGGGAGCCCTGAGCATCTGTAATGGGGTCTGGAACTTTAACAAGGTTCAGTCCCAAGGTTAATCACAGCAAACTTATTCCCAACCCCGGGCCTTTGGATTTGCTGATCCCTGTGCCTAGAACACCTTTCCCCGAAATCTCTTACCTGGCTATCAAAGTTGCCATATGTCTCTGGTGACAGGGAGTCAGGAGTGTCTTTGGTCATGAGCTGGGGAGTGGGAAGGGGCATTGTAATGAACTGGATATCTGAGGGCAGCCTTCAAAGCATCTACTATCCCAACTGAGAACCTCTCCATCTTCCCGTCATCAAGGCCAGTTCTGCCCAATAACCCCAGCCCAGAGGTTGCCCTCCTGCCTCCAGCACAGAGGGAAGCCAGATCCCTTGAGCCTGCTATATTGCGACTTAGAGCTGGGAGGAGCTGGCAGACACATGAGACAGAGATGTCTGGCCAGCTGAGTTCCAGGCAGAGTCCAGAGCTTACCAGGGCAGGGCCTGTGCCCAGTTGCCTCTGCCCTAGCGATGTCCCCTCTGCTGACATTTTTCAATTGCACCCTGAGTGCCCCCACCCACCTCCTGGATGGCTTCCATCACCACATGCTGAACCGATTCTTCCAGCGTCATGATTCTCTGGATGTGCTCTGGGGATCAAGGTGGGGGAGGCTGAGACCCAGGGGTGAGGTGGGGAGGAAGGAGGATTTCCTCAGGCCAGCCCCTGGGGACCTCCTAAGCTCCCCATACCCTGCTTTTTCTCGCAACTGATGGCACAGCCCAGCACCAGCTGAAGCAGCTTGCCGAGCTCTGCTGGGTCTGAGAACTCTCCAATGAGGCTCACATCTGGGAGGTGCTCTTCTGACACAGGATGCGCCAGGACCTGGGGAGAAGGGGGTGTCAGGGGCTCATGGGTCCACCCTTCTCCCAACTCAACCCCCTGAATCCCTTTACAGTTACTCACATCCTGGGAGTACTCTACCAGGCTCTGTAAGACCATCTTCAGATTGCTGACCTAGGGAGAAACAAGGAGCTGTGGACAAGTTCAGAGGTCCCCGACTCTAAATCTGTACATCCCATCCTTTCTCCACCTCACTTCTCCTTTCCTGCTCATCTCATCCTATTCTGTCTGCATGTGCCTCCCTCTAGGGGTGACCTCTTTGGCTGTCTGCCCCTTTTGTCTACCTGACCATCTTTGTTTTGTTTTTATTTATTTTTTGCTTTAGTTTTTTGAGACAGGGTCTGGCTGTCACCCAGGCTGGAGTGTAGTAGTGCAATCTTGGCTCACTGCAGCCTCGACCTCCTGGGGTCAAGCAATCCTCCTATCTCTGCCTCCCTAGTAGCTGGGACTACAGGCATATGCCACCACACCTGACTACTTTTTATTTGTAGAGAGGAGGTTTTGCTATGTAGCCCAGGCTGCTCTCAAGCTCCTGAGCTCAAGCAATCCTCCCATCTCAGCCTCCAAAAGTGCTGGGAATACAGACATGAGCCACAGTGCCCAGCCTGCCTGACCGTCTTTCTTCATATGTCTCCAGAACCCAGTCACTTCTCACCACCTGCCCCACCATCCTTTAGCCCTGCCCATCCATCCTCACCTCTCACCTGGATTAATGCACCAGCTGCCTCTCCTCTTCCACTTTTGCTGCCTACATTTTATTTCTTTCCATGCAGCCAGGGGGAGCTTTATAAAGCCTAAGCCAGGTTGCATCTTTGCTCTGCTAAAACCCTGCCTTGACTTTCCACAGCACTTAAAAATAGAATTCACACCCTCACCATGGCCTGCCAGGCCCCTGATGACCTCATCTCCTACAAATCTTGCCCTCTTGCTCTGTTCTGCCCTCTTTGCCATTCCTCCATCACACCAAGTTTATCCCCAACTCAGGGCCTTTGCATCTGCTATTCACTGTGCCTGGAACACCGTTCCCCCAAATCTCACTTGGAGATTAACCCATCTGATGTAATCACCCACCCATGCCCTCATTGCTCTTTCTCAAAGCCCTGCTTTTTTCTTGTCTTCATAGAACTATTGGCATCAAAAGTTTTTTCTTTCTTTTTCTTTCTTTCTTTTTTATTTCTTCTTGAGACAGAGTCTCGCTCTGTTGCCCAGGCTGGAGTGCAATGGCTCGATCTCGGCTCACTGCAACCTCTACCTCCCAGGTTCAAGTGATTCTCATGTCTCAGCCTCCCAAGTAACTGGGATAACAGGTGTGCACCACCACAGCCAGCTAACTTTTGTATTTTTAGTAGAGACAGGGTTTCACCGTGCTGGCCAGGCTGGTCTCAAACTCTTGGCCCCAAGTGATCCACCCACTTTAGCCTCTCAAAGTGTTGGGATTACAGGCATGAGCCACTGCGCCCAGCCTGGAAGTTAATTTTTATGGTTGTGTTTTATGTGTTGCTTGTCACTAGAATGATGGCTGTGTGGGGCAGGTTTTTGTCTGTGTTATTCCTTGCTGAATGCCCAGGCCTGGCACAGGGTGAGTACTCAATAGATGAATGGATGAACAAATGGTTGATCATCAGACATCTGTCCCTCTTCCTGCCCATCACCCAGGACATGTGCCTAGCTGGTCCGTCCCTGGTCATCTCTTCACCAGTCTGTCCTCTAATCAGGAGTCCAATTGTCACCTTCAGCTTCCAATTGGGACCTGGATCTTCTGAGATGCCCTGGAGCCATGCCTCGTTGAACCAGGAGGGGTCTCTGGGGGCGAGAAGGTGGGATGAGAAGACTGGGGGACACTTTTGGGATCCTCCCCCTCAGCTCCACTCACATCTGGTTCAGCACATAGGCTATGGCAAGGCCGCTGCTCAGGTCCTGAGGGCTGGCACAGGAAGACGGAACATGGAACGTCTGTAACTGAGGGGTCAAGGAAAAGACAATGGAGAGAGTTAGGGCCTGGGAGAGCGGGACCACTCCCCTTTTGCAGACTTTGCCAGTCAGCGAACCTCATATGGTGGGGCGGGCGCTGCTCCGCCACAGCAGCTCTGCAAGGGAGTGACTTCTGCTCACCTGAGCCCAGAGGGGGCGTGGCCTCACTTCACCTCTGTCCAACAAACCCTGCGCGTCCAGGCCAGGGCGGTATCACGAGTCACCTGGGCCCCACAGGCACCACGTGACCAGGCCAATTCACCTGCGCCCTCGCCCCACGTGAACCAGCCACAGAGGGGCGGGGCCTCACCTGTCCTTTCTACTCAGACTTGCCACGTGACGGGGGCGGGTGCTCGGGCGAGAGTCCAACGGTCCAGCAAGCCGACGACCCCTGCACCTCCCCGCCCCAGCACCAAGGGACTGACCGCACCAGGACCAGGGATCCCGGGCAAAAGGAGTGGGCGCTTACCTTCCCCTAGCCCCGCCCCACGACCTACCCAGGTGAGCAGAGACCCGCATAGCTCGGCCTTGTCCACGCTCATGGCTCCTGATAGGATTCAATCCAAGCCACGGAGCCCCAGCGCCGCGGCCGCCTTCGGGTCCGCCACCAGC